TGTTAGCTTGTTTATACAATCATAAAAACTTTACTTCAAAGTTCACTAGCAAATCCCCCAGCTGCACCTGTCCAAAATCTGATCTATCCTACCAGTAGCTAGGTTTCAAATGTCATTTCTCAATGTCATACAAAATGAATAACTTGCTCTAAATGTAGGTATTGTGATATAAACTGAGTCTGTTCTACAGTTTCTCATTAGGTCGAATGAATAACTGGCTCTAAATGTAGGTATTGTGATATAAACTGAGTCTGTTCTACAGTTTCTCATTAGGTTGAATGAATAACTGGCTCTAAATGTAGGTATTGTGATATAAACTGAGTCTGTTCTACAGTTTCTCATTAGGTTGAATAAATAACTGATTCTAAATGTAGGTATTGTGATATAAACTGAGTCTGTTCTACAGTTTCTCATTAGGTTGAATGAATAACTGGCTCTAAATGTAGGTATTGTGATATAAACTGAGTCTGTTCTACAGTTTCTCATTAGGCTGAATGAATAACTGACTCTAAATGTAGGTATTGTGATATAAACTGAGTCTGTTCTACAGTTTCTCATAAGGTTGAATAAATAACTGATTCTAAATGTAGGTATTGTGATATAAACTGAGTCTGTTCTACAGTTTCTCATAAGGTTGAATAAATAACTGATTCTAAATGTAGGTATTGTGATATAAACTGAGTCTGTTCTACAGTTTCTCATTAGGTTGAATGAATAACCGACTCTAAATGTAGGTATTGTGATATAAACTGAGTCTGTTCTACAGTTTCTCATAAGGTTGAATAAATAACTGATTCTAAATGTAGGTATTGTGATATAAACTGAGTCTGTTCTACAGTTTCTCATTAAGTTGAACTGTATTTTTATCAGTGTTCTGTAATAAATTCTTTGGGCTGTAATTAGAACTATATTAGAGTGAATTAAGCATTTTAAAGAGCACATGTAATGCTCTCATTAAGCCGTATTAAACCAGTAGTTGGTAATTAACCATCATTAGTCATTAATCGTAATTGGTAATTAACCATCATTTGCTTCCAGAAGTCAAAATGCACTGTTTCACTAAGGTGGTTTGATAGGCTAATATTATTAATTAATGTTTTATTGTGATATCTATAATGAATAATGCATGTTAATCAAATTACAAAGAAATCAAATCTTTATGTCTCCTTTGTCTCGCCTGCTCTTGGTCTTAACCATGACTCATCATGAGTGCTCTGGAAGTGCTTCATTAGCCCAGTTACTGCTTAATAATGTAATGATTGGCAGCCAGTTATTGGCTTGAAGTTAGTTACCAGCTATTAGTTCATAGTAAGTATTAGTATTATGAGGCAACAAAGGTAGTTTTTAAATAAATTTTAGAGTATTTAAGCATAGTAGCAAATATATTAGTTAATATGCTTAAATACACTAAAAAGTATAAAATTATTAAAATGCAAAATTTTAATTTTTTGTTTTTATTTGATTTGTTGCTGTGGTGAGAAAGCTGAAATATAAATGACTGAGATTTCTTGCTGTGTTACTTCTTCTGCACCCCAAACCACATACTAGCACACTAAATAGTGTTTAAACAGTAGTGAGGAGCACTCATTATTGTAGCAGGTGAAGTATAGAAGTGTGTGTTTTGGAACGCAGTGTTAGATCAGCCAGCGAGGTGGGTTCAACAGTCCAGCAGGTCCAGTGGCTGATTATAGCTCTGCTGTGCTGCTCGTTACAAATTCCCAAGGTTCAGTGGCATATAAATAAAATGAAACTGCTGAAGGTGTTGACTGATTAACTGGACGTCTGTGGATTTTTCTGTGACGTTTAGAAGATCTCTGTATGCAGAGCCCCTGAAGGGATGCGGTGTATTTTTTTTAGGGAAAAGGGACATGAGCACCCAATACTATCAAGTGTTCACCAGATACTATGTGGTAAGCACCCAATAGTACAACCCTATTTCCATAAAAGTTGGGACGCTGTGCAGAATGTGATTAAAAACATAATGCAATGATAGCAAATCAAGTAAACCATATTTTTAAAGGAAAATACAAAAGACAACAAGTATTTTTCATTTAATAATGCGCCAAATGTTTGCAATGGGTGACAGGTCTGGACTGCAAGCAGGCCAGTTTAGCACCCAGACTCTTAATACAGAGCAATGCTGCTGTAATACATGGAGAATGTGATTTGGCATTGTCCTGCTGAAATAAGCAAGGCCTTCCCTGTAAAAGATGTCATCTGGATGGCAGCATATGTTGCCAAAACATGTATATATTGTTCAGCATTAATGGTGCCTTCACAGATGCGTGCCATGTGCACAAATGCACCCTATACCATCATGAATACTGGCTTTTGAAGTGTGCACTGATAACAAGCTGTGTGGTCTTTAGCCCAGAGGACACAGTGTCCATGGTTTCCAAAAAGAATTTCAAATTTTGATTTGGACCCCAGGACACTTCTCCATTTCACCACAGTCCATTTTAAATTTGCTCCAGCCCAGAGAAGGTGGCGGCATTTCTGGATCCTGCTTATATGTGTTTTCTTCTTTGCATGGTAGAGTTTTAACTTGCATTTGTGGATGCAGAGTTGAACTGTTTTCACAGACAGTGGTTGTCAGAAGTGTTTCTGAGCCCATGCAGTGATTTCCACTACAGAATCGTGTCTGCTTTTAATGCAGTGCTACCTGAGAGCCCAAAGATCATGTCCAGCAAATACTGCTTTTTGGCCTTGTCCCTTGCATACAGAGATTTCTCCAGATTCTCTGAATCTTTTAATGTTATTATGTACCGTAGATGATGAAAAGCAAAAGTTCTTTGCTATTTTATGTTGAGAAATGTTGTTCTTGAATTGTTGCACTATTTGATCGTACAGTCTTTCACAAAGTGGTGAATCCCTTCCCATCTTTATTTCTGAAAGACTCAGCCTCTCTGAGATGCTTTTTTATACCCAATCATGTTACTAACCTGTTGCCAACCAACTACCAGGTGTAGCATTACACAACTTTATCAGCCTTTTGTTGCCCCTGTCCCAACTTTTTTGGAACGTGTTGTTGGCATCAAATTCAAAATGGGCAAATATTTTTCAATGAACAACAACATTTCTCAGTTTTAACAGTTAATATGTTGTCTTTGTACTATTTTCAATGAAATGTAGGGTTTGAAATGATTTGCACATAATTGCATTTTGTTTTTATTTACATTTTGCACAGTGTCCCAACTTTTTTGGAAATGGGGTTGTATGTGGTGAGCACCAGATACTATGTAGTAAGCACCTGATACTAATAGGTGTGCACCAGATACTATCAGGCAAGCACCCGATACTATGTGGTGAGCACCAGATACTATGTAGTGAGCACCTGATATTAATAGGTGAGCACTGGATACTATCAGGTGAGCACCTGATACTTTCAGATGAGCACCATGTACTATGTGGTGAGCACCCAATACTAGTAGAAACAACAAATTGTTTCCGTTCTGTGTATAAGACTGAATAAACTTAGGTGGAATGGGAAATTTGAATAAGAAGCCAACTTCAGCTTCTCATGTATGTATGTGTTCTAGTAGCCATGTTTATTAGTCTGTGTAAAGTCTCACTCATTGGAGTTTTTCTGAGATTTGAGAGATGTGCAGGTGATACCGATCCAGTCTACCAATGTAGCTAATGTTCACCTCGTAGTGTTTTTATAGAGACGGTGTCTAAATGGTCCATGTTTTTTGTGGCCATTCAGGTCTGTTTTGCTTGGCCTTCATCCACCTGCAGGGTTGTAGCTGCAGCAATGATGATGCGGCAAACTCTGCACATTCACATTAGCAGGCAACAGAGCGACAGCTAGCCTACCAAAATGACCTAACTTAGTGCTGTGTATAATAGTACTATGTGCAATGTGGAATTCTAATGGCTCCTAATACCTTACATGAAGCCCTACCTATTTTTAAATGTAATAAATAAATAATGATGTGAACTGATACTTCTGTGGCATTGCACACCTTGAATGTCAACATTTATGCACAACAACACAACTAGCTGTGAACTGGTGCAGATTTTCCCAGCACTGTGTGAAGCTCTTGAGAGCTTCTGTTGTGTTAGTGAAGGTAAAAATAAAGATGAATACAAAGATGTTACAATACACTAACACGCTCATATTATATGCCACACCTGCTGTGCGCCGCCTAATTTTAGTTTGCATAATGTTCACACTGTTCCTTGTAGCTGTCAAACACACCTAGCAACACACACACACACACACACACACACACACACATCAAACATCAGTGTAATCCTCAGAGGACCGGTCACAGGACGCAGAGCTGGAACTGAATCACCGGTCATCGGGACGACCCAGAGAGACCGAACACTCACACACGAGTGGTGCACATTCATGCCAAAAAGCATAAACGAACATCTGCCATAGAGACCAGCTCCAGAAACAATGCCATTCTCTCTCTTATTATTGGTTTATATTGCAAATGAGTAGGAATAGCAGCTGTAGCTTCATTAAGCTCTCTCTATCTCCTTCTCTCTCGCTAACTCTCTTTTTTCTCTCTCTATCTCTCTAACTCACATCCCACACAGCATTAAACCACTGAGTGTGAGCACTTCAGTTGATGTCTTCTACATTTTTTGCACCGCTTATGTGAAATTATGTGTATTTGTGTGCATTTATTATTAAAGCACTGAAATTGAAGCCACCAAAACAGAGAAAGGAAGGAGAAACATGGAAAATTTGGGCAAAAGAAAGCAATAGATTAAACAGATCAACAGTGAAGTGTCAGAAGCACTTAATGAATAATCTGAATGGTAATGAAAATGAGAAAAAAATTTAAATGGATTAAAAATTATTTCCTTCACTCTCCTGCTGGTCAGCACAGATGCGTTCAAACAGTTTGATCAGTAGCTGATCAACAGTGAAGCTCAAACACAGTGGATTTTGCCAAAATGTGACAGGCTTACAAGTATGTCTGTACTATATTTTTACTGCATTACCCTTCTTTACTATCTGTCTATCCAACTATCTTCCACAGGTCCCTTTGTGTGAATCTACCATGGACCGTATGCTCTGTGGGCTGCTGGTCCTGGGTATGGCCGTAACAGTGGCTCATACGTGCCCCAAGTACTGCGTGTGCCAGAACCTGTCCGAGTCTCTGGGCACACTGTGTCCGGCGAAAGGCCTTCTGTTCGTCCCCTCTGACATTGACCGCCGCACGGTGGAGCTACGGCTGGGCGGGAACTTCATCCTCCGCATCACGCAGCAGGACTTTGCCAACATGACCGACCTGGTGGACCTGACGCTGTCCCGCAATACCATCAGCTACATCCAGCCTTTTTCATTTGGAGACCTGGAGACCCTCCGTTCACTTCATATGGACAACAACCGGCTCGTGGAGTTGGGTCCAGATGACTTGCGTGGGTTAGTTAACTTGCAGCACCTCATTTTGAACAATAACCAGCTTAGCCGAATCTCCGAGCGCGCCTTCGAGGACTTGGTGGCGGCGCTAGAGGACTTGGACCTGTCCTACAACAACCTGCAGGCTTTACCTTGGGACTCAGTCAGGCAGATGGTCAACCTGCACCAGCTCAGTCTGGACCACAATTTGCTGGATTACATCCCGGAAGGTACCTTTGTGGACTTGGAGAGGCTGGCCCGTCTGGACCTGACCTCAAACCGGCTCCAGAAGCTTCCGCCTGACCCCATTTTTGCTCGAGCGCAGGATTCAGCCTTGATGACCACACCCTTCGCCCCGCAGCTGTCCCTCAGCATGGGTGGAAACCCACTGCACTGCAACTGCGAGCTGCTCTGGTTCCGCCGGCTTGAACGCGACGATGACCTGGAAACCTGCGCTTCCCCTCCTGGTCTAAAGGGGCGCTACTTCTGGAATGTGCGAGAGGAGGAGTTTGTGTGTGAGCAGCCACTCATCACGCAGCACACACACAGGTAGGGATGTAAATTGAACTATTTTTGCTTGACAAATGTTTTTTGTCAGATATTTCATTTTTAAACAAATAAACATAAAAAGTATTTAAATGTTGGTTAAACACAGACCTTTGAAGCTTTGAGTAAAGAGTCCTGTACAGGGCTGCTGCTGCTGTTTTCCATTCCTAACAACTAACCGAAACCTGCTTAGACTATAGCTTGTTTTCAGTCAGTGATGTCATCTTGAACTTCCAGATAGCAATGTTTTTTTTCCTCCAAACTGGTCCCACACATTGTACATCAGAACATATTTGGGTGATTGCTTGCTTGGCTGTATCTACCTAGACACCATGGAGGAAAAACCCTGACTGAACAGTTTCCAGTTGAGTGTGTGAAGATATTAACTTTTTTAAAATTAACTAAAAGATTGAAAACTTGAAAAGAAGACTTGAAAAATGTGTTGCTCTATTTCCCAGAAATCATTAGGTTTCTCCCTGCTGACCTATATAACAATACCTCTCACAGCTTTACACTAAATTTATGATCACTTATGATGTTTCCAAATCCAGCTCTGCTTAGATGTAGCCACTTGGCAGGAGCATAAAATGCAGTATCATCTGATTGTATTCCCACATCCTCTGCAGTTCTGCATCATGCACTCAGTCAAAAACTTTCAAGATGGCATAATACGTGTTGTTTACCTGATTCAGTAAATGGATATACAAATAATCTTGTTGTATATCCAAATAATCTTACCCTTCCCTACACAGGTTGCTGGTTCTGGAGGGTCAAACAGCCAGTCTCAGGTGTGAAGCTATCGGGGACCCAGCTCCCACCATCCACTGGGTTGCCCCTGATGACCGGTTGCTTGGCAACTCCTCCCGGACCGTTGTGTACCGAAACGGCACGCTGGAGATCACCATCACCACGTCCAAAGACTACGGCACCTTCACCTGCATCGCGGCCAACGTGGCTGGAGAGTCTACAGCTTCGGTGGAGCTGTCAATCATCCAGCTGCCCCACATAAACAACAGCACAGGACAGACCTCTCAGCCCAAGTCCCGCCTGTCGGATATAACAGGTCTGTTTTTCTGTTTGTTTGTTTGTTTTTGTTTGATATTTTTCCTAATAAATAAATATATATATTGTTTAGGAGTGACCTCACAGTGCTTTCATCCATTCTTTACTAATTTTACCATGATTCAATTTCATTATTTTGATTTGATTTGGTTTGATTCTGAATTTTTGTATACACTGAATGCAAAATACTTCTAAATTTAGTTATTAAAACTGATTATAATTGATACTAATACTCCAAAATAGATGCAGGCGAATCTTGGCCTTTAGAGAGATGCATCACAATGTATTGATGCATTTTTACACCCTTATTATTACTCTTTATTATTATTATTATTAAAGGAACTTCGAAGACTGGCAAGGCCGTGCCCAAGAACCAGCCCGAAAAGGCAGTGACTGTTTCCGAGGTAACCGCAGTCTCCGCCCTCGTCCGATGGTCAGTCAGCAAATCGGCGCCCAAAGTGAAGATGTTCCAGCTCCAGTACAACTGCTCTGATGATGAAGTGCTGATCTACAGGTATGAGAGTGTGTTGAGAATGGAGGAGATTCCATGACAGATCTGAAAGGAGTCATAACGGTAGAGAAAATGTAAAAATAGCAGTTGTTAGGAAATAAAATGTAATCCAGCATGAAAAGGATTACATCGCATTTCACTGTGCAGTTCTGTCAAGGTGGCAAAACTAAATGCTTAAAAAAATATTATAGAATTTTCTGAACCAGGGAGACGGGAGATACAGTGAGGAGGTCTTTATTCGAGAGTGTGCTGTCCATCACTCTGCAATGGCCCAGTCTGAGCAAAGCTTCACAATGCCTGTTTATATACTACTGTGGCAGTAGATGGCAAACCTGTGCCTGTGTCTATGAATATCGCAGTGCTGTTCATATCATGATAAAGACCTTTAAAAGCCTGGAAACTGACCATTTGCTGCTGGTCTATTTAAGACCTAAAAGAATGCTGTGGTTGAATGCTGTGTTGTAATTCATATTGCAACTGGAAAGAATAAACACTAATCATCCCTACAAATAATACACCACAGCAAACTACACTGCATGTACAGAATAACACAGCACTCCAAATGAGGAAATGAGCACGTATAAACAAGATGGTTCTTCAAGGGCTGTTTAGTAAAGACACTTGTTCTAAATAGAATCATGAACATTTGCATGCTTAAATGGTTCTTTGCATGGCAAAATCATTTTTCAGATTGATGTAGAATGTGTTGTATATGATTCTATATAGAACCTTTCTGAAATGGGTTCTATATAGCATCAAAAAGTGTTTCCGCTGTTGTTACAACATCTAGTTTGTGACAATAGAAGAACCCTTTTTGGTTATGTAGAACCATATGCAACACATTCTCCATCAATCTGAAGCATGCTTTTACCATGTGAAGGAAGTGCTGTGTTGTGTGTGTGTGTGTTTTGAAGTTGTATTTTAGGCTGCCTATTGTTGTCTTTCTCCTTATATGGTCATGTTGTCACACCTGTTACTTGTCCTGTATACGCTGGGTCTAATCTTGGCATCAGTCCAGCTATAAAAGTGTGACAGCCCATTGTATAAGGGGGCTGGCTGGGTGTCTGGAACCTGCGCGCGCAACAAATAAACTTCACCTGTCCAGACAACAGATCGAGTCTCCCGGGTTTGGATTCTATCACATGTAAAGAAACTTGTAAGCATGCAGATGGTTCTGTGAGTGTTTGTGGCTCTATATAGAACCATTGTCTTTATTAAAGAATCCTTAAAGAACACTCTAAGAACCATCTGCATGCTTAAATGGTTCTTTGCCTGGTGAAAGCATTCTTCAGACTGATGGAGAATGTGTTGTATATGGTTCCTTATAGCCAAAAAGGGATCTTCTATTGTCACAAATTTGACATTGTAGCAATAGCAGAACCCTTTTTAATGCTATGTAGAACCATATACAACACGTTCTCCATCAGTCTGAAGAATACTTTCACTATGCAAAGAAGCTTTTAAGCATTCAGATGGTTCTTAGAGTGTTCATGGCACTATATAGAACCACTGTCTTTACCATCTTTTTAAAGACAAAAATAAATGAAAAAAAAAAATCATAATATTTAACTGCATTTGTTCTTATGACCCCAAATGAAACTTATCACTGTCCAATCCCAGCCCTCAACAGCATACAGACGTAGACACCAAAAGGCCTAAGTTATGCTGGGTTTAAAAGCGTACGATTGGGACATACTTGTGCTTCTCACAGGCTATACATCTACTGTATCTAGCAAAATAATGTTATCGCCCGTACGTTTTGAGCATCACTTGCACAGTTTCTGCCATATAAAACCTTAAATAAAACTGTATTTCTCTCACTATTAAAGTGAGCCAGATATGTAATGTGTGAAAAACATTGGCTATCCTATTACACTGTGAAAAGTGGCTCATCAGATCTACTTAAAAAAAATACTTCATGTGGTAACAAGCAATTAAACTAGTTTTATTCAACTCAAAAAATTACTCTGAAAGAGTTGTTCATTCAAAGTATTTATTTAGGTTGAATAAAACTAGTGAATTTACTTATTCTGACGAGTTACTTTTTACAGTGACTTTTTACAGTGTAGCTTGTTACGCCAGCTTTGACCAGCAAGGCGAGGAACCAGGTATAAAAAAAATAACTATGGAGCCAAGTGGCTAACAATTAGCATGCTGTCCCAAGGGGGCAGCTTTTTTTCCCCTTTCCTTTTGGGGACAGGGAAAAAAATATATATTACTGAGGAGCTAACTGGCCAACAACAATGGCTAACTCTCCAGTAATTTTCTCGTCTGGCTCAAAAAGGGGAAGGGGGAAAAAACAGCTGCCCCCTACTGGTCAAAGCTGGTGTAACAGGCTAAGTATTAGCCAGTAATTTTTTCCATGCATTACCTGTCTGATTTACTTTAGTAGTGGAGAAAATTGTAGTGGAGACGTAATAAATATGTTTTGTCTGTTTTTGGTTTGTTATACAGGCAGAAAAATTGCCACTCAAGGACACACTTTTAATTTCTTTTTTCATCTTACTCTTCAGGGCTTCTGTACGTCACAGTACAGAAGGAGAATGAGTGATGATTTCAGATTCACACCGACTTTAAATGAGCTAATTTGTTTATCTACAGTGGCTCAACATAGATTACAGGCACAATGCAGTTCAGTGATGAGGAAAATTAATCAACAAATGCATTTTAGCTCACACTTGAATATAAAAAATTATTGGTCAGCTGTAAACAAAACCCTCCACTCTGATTGGTCTTCACTTGTATCTCAATGGATTTTGGGTAGGAGGCCACATGGATGCAGTCGCAGGCGCACAGAGGGCACTCGTGAAATGAGAAGTGGGACACACTGCAGTCGTGGTCTTCAAATCTGGACCTTGAATCTAGTTACCGCTCTGGGATTTTGTAAACACTGGGTGGCCAATCAGTTACATCAGCAGTTCAGTTAACTACCGGTGATTACACCATCCAGGAGCAGAAAGTGGATTCATTTGAAGAGCCCTACAGCCTTGTGTTACTCATGTGCAGGAGTGCCCACTGGGACACTAGGTGGATTACACTACGAGAAATAGTGTCTTGGCAATTGAGAAATTATCTATGAAATTATCTTAAATCTAGTCGATATATTGTTCTCATTTGAGATTGATTGTGATTATTTCACTTGTTTTAAGTGATTTCTGGCTTGTTTTGAGCAAGCAAAATTATCTGCCTATATAGTGAAATAATTTGACTTACCAAAATCACATAAAAAAACAAGTGAAAAAGTCTATAATTTAATTAGATAATCATATAATAAGTTCTCAAAATGAGAAATTTTAGATACATTGACTGGATGTTTTTTAAAACATAATTTCCTATTGGTTATATGTAATAACAAGATGTATTCATGAGCAGTGAGTGTGTGGTACCATGAGAACAGCAGGGTTGCAAGGAGAAAGCCGCTGCTTTCCAAAAAAGACATTGCTGCCCGTCTACAGTTTGCTAAAGATAACATGGACAAGCCAGAAGGCTATTGGAACAGTGTTCTGTGGACGAATGAGACTAAATAGATCTTTTTGGTTTAAATGAGAAGCATTACATTTGGAGAAACACTGCATTCCAGCATAAAACCCTTATCCCATCTGTGAAACACAGCGGTGGTAGTATCATGGTTTGGGACTGTTTTGCTGCATCTGGGCCAGGACGGCTTGGCATCATTTCAGTAAATACATATGACCCCCCCCCCAACTCCCCCATCCCAACCCACACAAAACAAGGCCATCCTCACAAAACGAAAAAGGAACTCTGCAAAAAGAAGAGATACATAAATATAAAATTCCACTCTTCCCAGTTTGGGCTTTGCTGATCCCATTCATTGCACTTCACTTCATTAGGTTCCTGCGTACACTACCTATCATATATATATCAGAGAAGATTTCCATCCTAAAGAGTACTAAACATTTAAGATAATATCCATAAGTTTAGGAGGCAGATGCTCTATGGTCTCTAAAGGTCTCTAGATTTTCATAAATAACAGGTTGTTGCCCCTAAGTACTGCCGCTAATCGCTCATGAGGAAGTGTCCTAAATGTTTCCCTATACCACTGAGTAACACAAGGTGGCATCTCTCTTAGCCAATTATTAGGAATACATTTCCAAGCTATAAGTAACAATTTATCAAGCAGTTTATGACGTAGTGGGATAGTGAAAGTGTTTTGGAGGGGAGGCCCAATAAAAACCAGCCTAGATCTCTTTTTAGTTTTATGTTACGAATTCTGCCAATTACTTAGATATATTAACTGGAGTTAAGATAATTTCGCTTGCCAAGATGCCATATTTTGCAGTGTACATTTACTTTTGACACAAATTCAACATTTAATTCTTCAAATCTCTGCTATAAGTTTCTCGGTAAACAGTGTGAAGTGTGAAAGCCTTGGTTTAAGCATGTCAGTGATGAATAATGTCATTTGTGTTTGTCTCTCACAGTTACGAATGCTTCATGAATCTTCTTCCCCAGTTCAGCAAGAGTTTATGCTAAGATAAAAGCAGCCTGACGTTGAGTCGCGCATTTCCAGCAAACAGGGCTGAAACGTGGGGAAGTGCTGCTGGTTTAGATAAGTGCAGATGATTTGATTTGTTTAGAGGGGTAGCGTTTCTCTTCAGCAGGAGCTGCCAGTCACAACGAGCTCAGAGTGAAGGAATTTACCCTCCACTGCTCACTCCGCATCAACAGCAAAGGCAGATGGTGTCGAATTTGTCTTAGGACTCGTAGCTGTTTTCTTTGATAGTGTACACTTGTAGCAGTCTTCTGGGATCCATCCATCATCCCTCGCTCTGTCCGTTGAATGGATAAGCAGGCAAAAAGGCTTTCCCTTCCACTACTTTTCTTCTTCATCTGACGTCTTCACTTGCTCCGAGACTGAGCTGCCTTTCTCTCTGTTTTTCTCTCTCTTTCTAATTTTCTTTCTCTTTTGTCTTAGGACTCGTAGGCTGTTCAGGGTCCTCAACTCTATGCTCTCCTGTTGTAAATAAATCAAGAAGCACATC